GGAAAAACTGCCTTTTAAGAGGAAGAAACCTAGGACAGATCCTTCGGCTCTAGGTGGGTGGTCGCCTCGACCAGTTGGGGTGATGACTAGGTCAAATCAGTGAACTAATTCAGCTGTTGAGTTTCTTTTATTAAAATGTTTACATATATTCTCATCAAAAACCTGTTTTATGTCTACGGTAACGCAGTAGTTTTACTGCAGTGGTGCATTGGCCAAGGGCCAGATGACAGCTAAAGGTCTAGTGTGTAGGATTTAGTGGCATCTAGTGGTGTGGTTTCAGATTACAGCTACCTTGCTTCACCCTCTTTAAGACGAGAAGGAGGAAGTACAATGGCTTGAAACGCAAGTAAAAAAGTAAACACCCCTATAAAGAGCCAAACAAGGATTCCTACATTCTGGTGGTTATACACTAATGAATACATAGTTATGCATATTATATTCCCTTTCTGCCAATAAATCCTTCAAAATGTTACACACTGGACCTTCAAGGAGGGTAGAGGTTTGAAAGAAAATAAATGCAATGGCCTTTTTACCCTTCGAGAGAGAATACTTTCTCCCTTCCTTACAGGCTGAGGGAAATTCAGTCAACTGTGATTTTTCCACAGATTTTCCAAATGGATATCGTAAAACATTGGACAAGTGAAACCATCTGCATGGCTTGATACCATTATGGGTAAGATAAAGATAAAATAAAGATAAAATATGGGTAGTTTAGTTAAGTTTCTGTTTGAGCTGACCTTAATGCAGATTAAAAGATAGTTCATATATACAACTAAAAAAAAATAAAGGGCAGAAAAAGCAGTATTATCCTATCACACTCAGCAATAGTTGCTGCAACTTCCTTAATACTTCTCAGCTTCACCAGTTTGGCTTGTACCTGTTAGAATGGCAGAGAGCAATCCATGTTTCCAACGTCCATTGTAAGACTCAACTACCAGATGAAACTTTTTTTTTCAGCAAACTTTTTGCTGACCTCCAGTATTCTATGTTCTCACCTTGCTTCAGTTATGTAGAAATGTACTCAGGGCAGGTCACCCATAAGAGGGGAAAAACTTTCTGGAGCCCATCTGCTAGAGGGGCCCATTGAGGCCAGCAATAACCCCATTATCCTAGATATAAGCAATGATTAGAAAGCTGCCATGCTGAAGACATAAACGACAGCCAGAAGGGCTAACTTTACAGCTAATGTTAATACCCAAAAGGTAGCTAGTGTCATCTTCACCAATGTGTGTCTATTCCACATGGGACGAATGAATGCCAGTGAACCCCCAATCCACTGGACTTTTGGACAGGAGGAAATGGGGATCAACCCCCAACACTGTAATCAGTGGACCACCCTCTCTACCACCTGAGACAAAATGTTTATGTTTTTGAATAATATGGGAAATGCTACATTCAAACTATTGACTGTATAACGACTGGATGACTTAATGTCATCATTCCTTTTACATATCTGTAATTCCACTCTAAACACAAAAGGTAATTCATATGGACTGTCCTCTGTCAATAGAATGAAACAGGATTTAATGGATGGATAAGACAAAATGCAGTGCACTAGGCTTTGTGTGTGTGCACAGTGTGTGAAGGACAGGAGAAGGGGTTGGTGTTAGGGCTAAATTGTCAGCCAGGATGGATTAACATAGCTACATGCTAACTTATTTTACTTTAATAATGATATCCCAATGACATGAAGACCATCTGCTATAGAACACACAAGCACACACACACACACACACACACACTTAATAACTTGGCAAGTTTCCAACATGATTATCCTCTAAGTATGATATGTTACTGAGACTAAGCCTTGAGCTGTACCGCCGTTTTGGAATACTGAAAAACAGGATTTCAATCAGTTTATGATTTCAGAAATGTTATTAATAAATTACTTTAGGGGCGGCTGTGGCTCAGAGGCAGAGTGGGTAGTCCACTAATCTAAAGGTTGTTGGTTCGATCCCCGGCTCCTCCCGCTACGTGTCGAAGTATCCTTGAGCAAGATACTGAACCCCAAATTGCTCCAAGATGCTGTGCATCGGTGTGTGAATGTGTATGAATGCATTAGTTTCTGTTCTGATGGGCTTTGCCATCACTGAGTGAATGTGTGTGAAAGGGTGAATGTGGGACGTAGTGTAAAAGCGCTTTGCGTGGTCGGAAGACTAGAAATGCGCCTTGAGTCCAGGTCACCATTTACTTAATCCAGAATAACTTGGATTAATGGGTGAATATGGGGAAGAACTCAATAATAATTCACAAAACTATCTGGATAAGACGATCAGGATTCAGGCCCCTGTTCTGCGTTGGCTTTTCAATATTATCTTATTATTGCATGGTGATGCAGTTCACAAGAAAGTTTCCAGTGTCTGCAAATTGATTTTTTGAGCTGAAACTAATGTCTGCCTAGAGTCCATTCTAAATCACTGATCAGTTCACACCTGGTAAAAGAAATGGAGGATTTAGAGCATGGAATATAAAATGGTATTCAGAAAATTCTGGATCTCTATGTAGACGAACAGAGATAAAATCCCTAAAAAAAAAAAATCACTAAATATTTGCAGTTAAAAAGCTACGGACAGATAATGTGCATAGAAGGGAAGGGCCATGTACCTAAATATTACAGGATATTGGTAGAATATAGTACTGGATCGTCATTAGATAAATTAAATGCTTGGAAAATGGATACACAAGAAGATCTTGGTGAAACAGATTGGAATGATGCTTGTTTAAAAGCCCCAAAACAGACAATAAATAACAAGGTTTAAATTACTTCAATATAAGTGGTTATTGAGAATGTATATAACTACTGTCAAACTTAAATCATATGTCTTCTAATATTCTATGGGAATCCAGATCCAAATCTTGAAAGGATGTTATGAAATGTTTGTCAGATATGTTTCATACCAAAATGTGCCAAACTTTGTCTGCTTGGAATATATCCTAAGGACTTTATACAAACATCGAAACGGACTAAACTTGTAGTCTTTGGACTTCAAGCCAGGGAGCTATTGCGCTATGTTGGAAGAGTATGGATGCACCATCATTGAGTATGTGGATAAGGTAGCTTTTGGAGTCTATCAGTCCGGAAAGATAGCTCTGGGAGCGTTACATAAACATAATTAAAGATGTCAATCAAAGCTTTTCCTTAAAGTAAATTGTAACACAAAAAACAATTTGTTTATATATATATATATATATATATATATATATATATATATATATGCACTCCTATGTGCTGTAGCCAATAGCTACAAGACAAATGGACTGTTCTATATTTCACTTATGTGTTTGATTGCTTTGAATTGATGTCAGTTTTGGGAAACTGAAGTTTGCAATTACACTAGTAGATGCTACTAAATCCTACACTCTGGACTTTTAAAATTAGAGGACTTTCGCCATCATAGTTATGGTTAGGAGACTATCCTTGTCATGCTTAAATGAAACCTACACTCTTAGTGTTAGGGACTGTTAGTGGGAAACAGGAAACAAAGTGGTCTCACGCTTTAGTCCCACATGTTGTTGACCCATCTATCCCCCATTATGGGGCTCTATAATAAGATCACCTGACTTCCTCATTGGCTCCCAACAGACATATAATTAACCAATTTACACAACCACTAAGCACTGTTGTCGGTAAAATATAAACATGGCTCTTTTTAGGCATTTGAACAAATGAACAATTCTGTCCATTTTCTCTTTGCAGTCAGAAAACATATGCAGAAAGTCTGGCCAAGATTAATCTTTCCACTTCAACTACATTAATTCAGTTAAAGTTACAGTAATCAACCATGATGAGAATGTGTGCGCGCGTGTGTGTGTGTGTGTGTGTGGTGTGTGTTGTATGGATTCAATAGTGAAGGTCGTTCCTGGTCTTTAGGGACAACGAGAGAAATGGGATCACAATTTCATTAGAGCATAAGTACCATATCAGCCAAAAGAAATAATAAACTAATGGATTATAGATTAACTGAAAGAGTCAAAAGATTATCCAGCCCTCTCTCTCTCACACACACACACACACACACACACACACACACACACACACACTTCACTTCTCACTCTGTCTCGCACCATGCTGTTCCTTCCTGCTGTTTTACCACTATTCTCTCCTTCAGTTTCATTTTTCATTTCTACATTTTAATATTGAACATATATCATGTGTCACATTACTTCTTTTCTTTACTTTTTACTTTACAAATAAGAAAAAGGTTAAAAAAGTCTTTACTTATAAAGAAGGAACTCAGCCAACAGGTACTGCCCTATATCGTTTGTCTTTGATGTTTGAACACTGGATCAGAACTAATGTTATTTATTGTGGCTCAAGGCGGTGGTAAACCATAAACTCCCCTGTTCTGCAAGGTAAAATTATTGCTTTAGTCAAAGCAATCTGCTGTCTTTAAAGAGAGCATTTTGTTATAACTGTCCAACAATTTTGTATTGGATTATATAAGTATTGTATATATGACAAAGTTACTTTGATTGACATAACAGCTTCAATTCACCATCGGAGAGGGCTGTCTGACGGCAAGGTAAAGTGGTGGAAATATTCAAAATATAGTTTACACGTTTTTAAAATAGGCTAGGTTTTGCTGCTGCATTGTCCACAGAAGTACTTGCAAGCAGTCTTTCCAGCATTTTTGGTCAATTTCTTGCATTTTTCCCCTTGTGAAAAACAACTTTTGGTACTCGATAAACTCTCCTTCTTGTGTGTTCTTGGTCTGATCATTTTGAGCAACTGTAACAGCTCAAAACAGGCATTTTGAGAGTTCATGATAGTTCTTCCAGTGTAGAAAATCCCTTGACTTCATGACTTGACTTGACTTGACATCATGTGCAAATAAGCTGTTGCATGGATTGTGCTACCTTACGGTAAATCAAAGAGAAAAATCTGAAATTCTGCAATGGGATATTTTTTGCACTACAATAGAACTCAATGGATACCAGTAAAAAATAGCTATGGATATAAAATTTAATTTTTTTTTTAAAATAGATTGGTACGCTGAGGCCTGGGAAGTGTGCAATGACTTGGTGTTCTGCTTGTTTTGTTGTTTTATTTGTTTTAATCTTTTATTGGATGTGTCATGAGTGTGTATGTTAGCTGCTATATGTATAGCATGTGTATTTATTGTCTGTAGGGGCAGCTTCTACTATGCACTACGCACTTTGAGTCCATGACAAATTTCCCCTAGGGGACAATAAAGTATATTCTATTCTATTCTATTCTATTCTAAGATGAAGAGGAAATTTCACGCTTTCAGCACGACAACAACCAAAGAATACTCCAAATCAAACAAAAGCATGCTTCAACCAGAAGAGTCAAACGTTTTGGATAGGCCACAGCCAGTAGCCGCAGATCCTGAATCCCTTTGAAAATCTGTGGGGTGATCTGAAGAGGGCTGGTACACAGGTAATTCTGACAAATTTGAACACAGCTTTGGTAAGAAAAGTGGGCAAATATTGCCAAGTCAAAGATGGGCCATGCTAATTGACTCAAGATACCCCAAAAGACTGAGTACTGTAATAAATCAAAGGTGCTTCAACAAAGTATTAGTTTCAGGGTGTGGCACACTTATGCAAACAGGTTTATTGTAATTTTTTATTTTATGATTCTCGCCCTTAAAGATTTTTAGCTTTTGTTTTTCAATTGAATTTTCATCACATTAAAGGTGGAAAAAGTTTGGACATGATTTATCTTTGTCTCATTTTTTTACATCACAAAAACCTGGCATATTAACAGGGGTGTGTAGACTGTTTATATCCACTGTAACTTTCATTCCACTGAATGGGAATATAGTATTTAGGTTTTCCTACTACATCGATTGTGGTCACTATATTTTAGGTCAAAATCAATAGTCTGAAATTTGGCTGCAACACCTTCCCTAAATTCAGAGCACATGTAAAGCTATCATTACTTATGAGAGTGTAGACGCAATGTGGACTGACAATAATTACTTAGTTAGTAATTAATTAGTTCTGCAACTCAGACAAATAATGCTTATTATCTTTGCATTTTGGATTCAAGAAAGCTTAATGTTCATGTGGTTTATAATATAAATCATAATGTTTATGTTGTAATATTTTATCAAATTTCTTCAGTTCTGCTGGCTTTTTTATGCTGTGCAGCATTGTGTCATTGACCTGTGTCTTTGCTGCTGCAGTTATGTGTTAGGCTAGCAACAGCAACTGATCAGTTTTTCCCTGTTCTGATTAACTCTAACCATCCCCTATCCCACCCTCCTATGTGTATTAAGACATCTATTCCCTGTCTCTTTGCTAGTTTGTCTTTGCTCTTTGTATAAAGCCTTCTCCCCTATTGGATTTGTTTGCTTATTCGCAGACAGATGTTCTGTGTACCAAACCTTTTTATGGCCTCTGTCTGAGTTGGGCTGTTGGTTTAAGTACTCAAGTTTGCCTAAAAACGGAGGCATTTCATTATTTTACAGATATTGTTGGGACTCGGGCATTCCAGCTAGAAACTGGGTCAATCTGGACAAACCAGTACATCTGGTCACCATGTTATTGACAATTTTGGGTGTAAATTACAAAATTATGGTAGATTGGCCGTAGTGTTAATCTGTCAGTATGATGGATGGCCTTCAGATTTTTTTTAGTCAATGACAGATAATATTCAGTTAATGTGAGCCCTGGTTGTAGCCTCTAGGGGATACTAAGAGATTATTATACTTTTTTGCTCTGTTGCTGTGTTCTACACAGTACCTGAATAGGACCAAACAAGGTGCCAGTACCCTAATTCAGTGCAACCCTAACCTTAAACACAACAAACTCCTAACCCTAATTGTTTTGTCGTTTTTTATCCTATTTATTTTTCTTAGCATTAAGCTAGCTGTGTTTACACAGAGACACATTACCACAGACGTTAAGGAGTAACTCACCAATTATTTCATGACTTTAATTGTATATCCCTTGGGGGAGAAAACAGACCTCCTGGACCCTGATATGCACCTTTGCAGCAGATCAAAAGTAGAGTGGAAGAAATGAGGGGATAATTTAGAAGCAGCCTCAGATCTTAGTGAATAAAACCTACTTGTGTTGATGTTGGAAAACAGTGCAAGTATAAAGCACTTGAGGAAAAAACTGAATTGGGCGAGACTTTGAAGCACAGCGATGATAGATCACACAGCATTTGCTCTTTGGCTGTTTAGCTACTGTTTTTTGAAATGATTCATCTCTGCATCTCTGAAAGCTGAGTCGATTTTTTTTCTTTGTTTGTGTGAATTTAATCACTGCACAGACACAATCCCTGTCACAGTGTGACACCTCACTTCAATTCCTTCGTCTGAATTTGCAGATGCGGCCAACATTGTTATGGATCTCCTGTATTTTTTTCAGAGTGATTATGATAAACGGATGTTTTCTCTCGCCCGCCCATTCCCAACCTATTCATCACAGGGCCAATAGAATATAAAAGACCACAACA